AAAAATGCTGATTATCACTTTCCTTGACACTGCGGCGTTCTGGGATAAATCAAACTGGTGAACTTGGAGAAGAATGCCTGGAAGAGAGTGAAAAAGCGATACGACCCCTGAGAAAGGAAGCTGATGCAGACTTCAACAAGCCTTTTTTTTTTTTTTTCAATTCCCATGCTGTACCAGTTAATGCCAAATGTTGCCAAAGAGTTCCTGCTTGTTTCTTTCCGTGTTTTTTCTTTTTTTGAACAATCTTGGATCTCTCGTGCTTTATTTGAGGATGCAGGACATCTTGACTGTATGTGCTGTAGTGTCACTCACAGTACCTGAACTCTGTGCCTGCATCCACCAGGAGTAAATTCAATTGCGCTTTATGATGTTGGTCATTTATTGATCCGGTGTTGTCGTTCTCTGTGTGTGTGTGTGTGTATATATATGCACACATATGTAAGTATATATAAAACCAGAACAAGCCAGTGAATTTTAATTAATTTTTATTTCATTTATGGCAATGGATAAGATAACCTCCTTATTTTCCCTGATCTCCTCTATGTATTATGGTTACGCAATTGGTCAGCCAGAACGATGCATAAGACTTAAAAGTTTTTCATCTTTTTTCACAGAATGACAGAATGTTCGGGGTTGGAAGGGACCTCTGTGGGTTTCCTGCAACCTCTGAAGATATTTTGGGGGTGCAGACTTCTGCATAGGGAATTGTCCCTTACTTAATCTCTGCTCCCCAGCTACTTCTTGCAGAATGTTTGGTGGGATGTAGGGGAAGAACCTATGATGGTTGTGCTGGGGCGTTGCGGCCGTGGGTGGGCAGTGCCCAGGCTCGCCCAGCTCCGAGAGCCCATTCTGGAGGTCAGTTCTGAAGTCAAGAGATGTGCAGGATCCTGCTGGCTTCCTGCTGTTGCCCCCATTAAAAGCTGTGGCTCAGCCTATGGTAGAAGGTGCTCATTGAAACATCCACCATGGCATGGGTGAAGTGGCAGGGGCAGGAACTTGCACCAAGGACCACACTATGAGTCTGGAGCTGGACTTAATGCCCTTTGTGCTGGAAGGGTCAAATATTTCTTCCAGTGGCAGTGTCTCGCTTTTCTACTTGATCTGACTTTGCCTTCAGGAGATGGTTGGAGACTATGGTGGCTGCAGACCAGAGGGGTAATGGAGTCTCCCTCTTTGGAGCTATTCAAAAGCCATCTGGACATGGTCCTGGGCAATGGCTCTAGGTGGCCCTGCTTGATAGTTGGACCAGAAGACCTCCAGTGGCCTGGGCTCCTCATACTGCTCGATTGCCAGCTCGGGGAGATACAGACCATGGGAACATCTTCCCCTGAGTGTTGCAATGTGTCCTCCAAGAAAAAGGTATAAAGTCCTGGATAAAAACTTGGTTGGCCCATGGGATTGTGCTCACAGCGTGCTGAGCTGAGCCATGTATTTCTAAGGCAGTTTTAGGAGAATGGTGTGGGATCGCCTTCACTGGCACTCATACCATACTCAGAGGGAGGGGGAGGTTTGCTTGATTTGAGCGGAGAGCCATCAGCAAAACGAGCTGCACGGAAGTATTTTAGCTCCTAGAAATAGCAAATACACGCTGAGAATCAAGTCTCCTGTATGAGGGTTTTTTTAAATCATATTGAAGTGGAGATTTAATGTGGAAACATGTTTCCTGATCTAAAGGTGAATAGTTCAACTGTACGGAATAAATATTTAAGAGTAGCGTATCTCTTTCCAGTAAAAACACTCTGGGCAGAAACTTCCTTTTGGTAGCAAAATGAGGCTGTTATTTTACGTGCCTTTGACCTGATTCCAAAAAAATATTTAAAATAGCGAAGTTGGCAGATTCTGCCATGAGAGGCAGCCAGGTGGAAGGGGCAGAGCTGTGAAAGGTGAGGCTGAAGCGAGGGGTGAGGGCTGCGGGGGTGATGGACACCGACCCACCGGTTATCTTCTCCCTCCTCAACAGCCGCCAGCCTCGCATGCTGTAGCGGGAGTGCACAGCTTGCAAATGGCCTATAAAATTAATTGCCAGTTAGAATCACCTAATTATCGAGCTTGTGATTATTAATTGAAGGCACATATGGGTTTGAGGTTGTTCACGGGTTCTCTGCTACGCTACGACTCTGCTGTGCAATTGCAAAAGGCTTGGACACAGCTGCATTTGTACGGTGGTCTGTGAACCCCCAGAAAACAGCTGATATTCCTGTCCTCTCTTGATCTTTTTGAGTTTGAAGGGCAGTTTCTGAGCAGCCTGCTTGGGCCCAAGGAGTACTGAGATAGCCATCAGTGAGTGTAAGCGAAGGGCTGGAGGTGAGTGCAGGAATCCTCGTACACATAAAATGAGCAAAGACCTGACTCTTCACAGTTAAGTTGCTGTTACGACTCGACTCGGAATAACAGTCGTTAGTCACTGTTTGATTAGGAGGATTTTTGTATTCACTGGGTGCCACACAGTATTTATTTAAACACCTCTCCCAAGCACTCTGCAAGATATCATTAGGTAGGTGTTGCTGAGTGATGCAGGGCTGCGGTGACTGAACATGTTAGAGCCAGGACACAGTCAAAGGAGCTGTGTGGGGCTCAGAAGCATTTCTGCACCTTTTTTGGATGTGTTTGCACGTTGTCATGTACCAGTACCTACTATGTTCTTGTGCTTTATCCCTTCTTGCTCCCGCTTAGGCGTCAGCTCAGTTTAGATTTTTTTTTCTTGGTTTATAAATCTTTGCATTTGCACAAGTTGGGTTTTTAGGGTATGGGTGTTTTGAAAGTTTCAATAAATATTTTTCTAAGAACCTAAGTACAGATGTGTGTGGCTGGCGCTTTCATGCCTGGGTCCCAGATTCACGTGGCAGGGAAGCAGGGTCGCAGTGGAAGCACTTTCCTGCACTCGCTCAAACCCTCCCGGCAGAGGTAAATATTTACCATCAGGAGACCCTCGTCCTCTCCCACATGCCCAAATGCCCTTTGCCGACGCGCTGAATTTCAGCCACGTGCCTGTGTCAGGTGTCCTGTCGGCTGCCTTCAGACCTGCTGAATTGGGGCTGAAGAAGGAGCTTGGGTGTCTGACCGGCTCGCAGCCTGAGTGACAACGGTGAAGGACATTGAGTGCAATTTCTGTTTTGAGTCACGGAAGGGTGGCGAGACTTGCCCAAGGCTGGGAAGGAGATCGGTTGCTGGCTATGAATCACTGATCTCCCAAACTGTAAGGACTTGGGGAGGTTTCAAAGCAGCGCTTGTTGGAGGAATCCCTAAGCCAGGTTCTCCCCCCTGGGTGGAGGAGGAGGAGGGGTGTCTCAGACAGGGCTCAGGCTTTCTCAGTCCTCACTTTTTGCGAAGTCTCTGTTGTGGCAGCACGTTTATTTCTGTTGTAAGGGTGTCTTGCAAGTCTGCTTCCAGGGTTCCACCAACGTCAGCTCTGTGCAGCACGGTGGTTTGAAGAGTCAGTCGATATGGCGGGGTAGGGGGAGGAAGTCAAGGCAGAGGCAAAGCTTCTCCATGCATATGTCACTCCGTGACACCTTTCCTTTTGAGGAGTAATTTCATCGAGAAGTGAAACCAATACCCAAAGTGGAGGTATAAGCCTTTCCGAGATGTTCAGGACTGCCAGCAGCCCTCCATCGCTGTGTGTTGTGCTGGAGGAACCTTGGGTTTGGGTTACAAGACAGCTGAAGGCTCCTTTCCTTGGCTACTGGGTGCAATATGAGCTTGAATTAGATCAGCTGAATTTCTTGGTGACCTGTGGGCTTGCTGATGCAGGGACCCATCTTTCCCCATAGGCATCTTGCTCAGCCTTCACCAAATGGCGGTTTTACCTTTGATTGGGGTACCAGGGGCTACCAGCTTTAGTTGATAACGGTTATTATTCGAGCAGGGAAACTTTAATCGGTCTCTATGTGATTTCTTTCCTTTTTTTTTTTTGCCTTTTTTAGTTGATGGAATTAAGTATGTAACTTTTAATGGGGATCATCTTAATTAAATCCACTGACTGGGTGGGATGAGTTGGCTGGAGGCCATGGCAGGGCTCTCGTGCAACCTTCTGCAGCATCTCCAGTGCTCCCACTGCTGCACCAACACCCCTCCAGCACAAGGGCTGTCATCAGTGGTGGTGATTTTAAGAGAGATCCATGGTTGTAAGATCAATGTTGGCTTTAGCAATGAGCCTCACAGCCCTGCCTGAATGTTTTATTTAGTTAGTTCTCTGATAAAAGCTTTGACCTACATCTAGCGCCAGGAAACGACAGGGCTTTGATAATACTCGGGCATCCCTGCGGAGGGCACGCTGCTAACCGAGCCTCCAAGTTGAAAATGGATGTGTCTTTTAAAATCAGATCAGATAAACCAATAAAGATCTCAGTCAGTAAGCAGCTTTATCTCTGCCAGACAATTCATAGTCCAGTTTTGATGGAGAGGATGTACCTCTTTATGAACCGTAGATACTAGCAAAAGCACTTTCTGCTTTCAGTTATAGGAAAACAAACCAAAAGCCAAAAAATCCACCCCAGTTTTCAATGATATGATGGTGTTGACGATGGAATGGGCTTGACCGCTTGGGGTGATCAGTGGTGAAGCAGTCATCTGGGGCGTTAAAGAGGAAAGGTCCTATCTGAGTTGTTTGTATGCATCTTAGACGAGGTGTGTCACCTGGAGCTCTCAACCCTCTGTGCGAGCAGCTGTAACGGCTTCATAGGTGTCCTTTCTAAAACGCTTGCCACCTTTAAGAGCACTGAAGGCAATGTCCGGGAGGAACGAGGCGGGGAGGTTTGCAGCGCTGTCCTCCCGGCAGCCGGCTGCAGCCTGGGAGTCGGGGGGAGGTCAGGAGCAGGAGGATGGAAACTAGCATCATTGCTCTGACAAATCGATAGTCACGGGGCGATGCTCCGGGAGCACTGCTGCGCTGTGGTGTGGCCCCATGTTGATTTACACCATTTGTCTGGGGGGTTGCGCCATGCCATCACCCGTTTGTGTACTCATATTGCGTGTTTTGTGGGTTTTTTCCCCGTTTCCAGGATGAACTCGACCTCACGGACAAGCACAGAGAGGCCATGTTCGCGCTGCCGGCGGAGAAGAAGTGGCAGATCTACTGCAGCAAGAAGAAGGTAAGAGATCCGTCTGCGCTGCGGTTGGGGGCTGAACCCCTTCCCTCCCATGGAGGGTGGGGAGGACACAGCTTTTGGGGTGCTGAATGGTTTTCGGGATGTTGCAGAAATGGATCTGTTCCTCATGGTGGTCCTGGGGAAGCCAAGGGTTACCAGCGAGGTCTTCAGTCTCCAAAATGCATAGCTCTTCCTCCTGAGTCCTTTTGGGCTGGAGGAGGTGTCCCCACACCCCGCGTGGGTGTCCCCTACCCCACGGGGGTCCCTGCCAGTGCCAGTGCGAGTGGGTGCCCGTGGGGCTCCGTGGCCACTGAAGCTGGCGCTGTGGCTGCAAGGGGCTGCTCTGGTCACTATTTCTCATGGCCCCACTCTGCTGACATCTGGGGGCCCGATGACAGCCTCCCCCTCCCTTGGGTTTCCAGTTTGCTGACATGAAACAGGCTTCAGCATCATTTTTGTCCTCCAACCGTCTCTTCCCAGGGGATGGGACAAATGGAAAACATCACTGGGGAAGCGGTGCCCCCGCAGCACAGCCTGCGAGGGTGCAGAGGTTGCTTTGGGTGAAGCTGTGTCACCCCTGGGGCCATGAAGGGCTTCAGGTTCACAGGTGGAACCGAGATACCACTGGTCAGGGATAGGGTTGATGCGAGTCACTGATCTGTCTGCCGAGCTCCCAGCGCGACGTGTCCGCTCTGCGATGTTGCCCTTGCAGCGTGTTTCTCAGGCTCAAAATGCACACAGACATCTTCCTAATGCCGAGATACGCTGATGTCTGAGCTCAGTTGTGTCACCGTTTAGACTTAGATCAAGAACTGAGGCTCATTGGTATTTCTGGCAGTAAGTCAGTGCCCGGGTGGCCGAAGCTTGCGGTGCCTGTGGGCAGGTTTGCGGTTGCAGCATGCAGCGATGCTGGTGCCAGCTCTTACGGTCTGTCCGGGATGGAGCAGACTGCCTCACCGTGTTTCTCACTTGGTTCGTTTGCCTTTGCTCCTGGGCCCTGCAGCCTGAGTGGCATGGGGTACCGTGGGCTGGCCGCCTGAGACGTGGCCAAAATCACCTTTTTTTCCCCCCCGGTAAACTGAAGATTTTTGCCCCTGTGTGCTGGCAGAGGAGTTACTCCCAGCAATCTGTGCTGGGACTCGTTTTCCCTCCCAGCCTTGGCCAAAGCAGAGATCCTGCAGGACGTAACACTACGGGGAGAAACGGGGCAAAAATCCTCAGTCTCACAAGCAGATGGAAGGATGCCGAGGCCTGCGAGGGAAATGCCCCCAGTTCCCAAATTCGCTGCTGCACCCTGTGACCTGGCTGCAGGAGTCGGCTCGGCAGCGCTGGCAGTTGCCTGGCCCCACTCGAAGGGCGCTCGCTGCCCTTAATGCCTCTTTTCTCCTGCTGTAGCAATAGCACCAGATTTTCCAGCCGCGTTTTAGGCCAAGAGCAGGCTTACCTTGCTCATGTAGTATTAAGTTTTAAGCCTCTCATAAATACCCCTGCAATCCCTGTATTATTGTTAGACAGAGCCCTGCCATGGCCGAGATTTAAATCGTAGGGGAGAAGAGATGTTGACAAATTACAGGCACTGGTCTGAATCAACAAGAGAACGGGCAGGGGCTGCTCGCTCGTCACTGCCTGTCGGATAAGCAGAGCCGTGCTCCGGTGTGTCTGGATAAGGGGAGACAACAGAGACTTAAATCAAGCAAAGCCATGTAGTTATTACTGTGAGTGGAGATTACATGCTATCTGATCTCCCGGAGCAGGGTTTAGATGGGGCTGATGGTGCCTCTTTCCCATTCCAGCACCTCCTTGTGCTCATGTTTTTTTAAAAACCGTGCTGAGAAGCTGCCTGCCCTCGGGGGATGTTGAAGGAAGGAGCTGCAGAAGGGCCCAGTGGCATCCTGAGAAATCCCCAGAGCAGGTGCCCATCCGAGGGCTGGATCCTGGCTGCTGTTGTGTTCTGGTCCTCGTCCCTCTGGCTGCTCTCAGCTGCTCCTTCCCTACTCACAATGCCATCTCGGTGAGCTGCAGAGAGAGTACGCACCACTGCTTGCTCTGAAGGAGATGTTCTGGTGGAGACAAATGATTTTCTCCTTCTTTTTAATTAAAAATGAGAAAGACCACATCAGTGGAGACTTCAGCAGTGGAGGAAACGAGGAATCACGTGGGCTGGAGAACACGTCTCTATACACAGCAGGCTCTAGGCAGTCCTGCTGCTGTGATGAAGACGGGTGGGCAGCAGAAAAATCAGTGGCTGTCCCAGCGGCTTGTCATGAGTCTTACTTGTGTACCCATGTTTTCATGAGGACAAATCACCCACAGGGTAGCCCAGCATCGAGGGGAGGGGCTAGACTTCTGCAGCTGAGGGTAATGGCAGGGTTTTGGCTGGAGCAGCGGAGCTGGAGACAGGGCAGGGGTCCTACCTCGCCACCTCGGCTGTAGTCTGAGCGATGGTGATTTGGGAGGTCCACAGTGCACCCAAATGCTCTGGCCTGGCTGTGTTTAATAGCAAGTTGTTGCTGGAGGTGCTGGTGACACCCAGTTTCACGTGGTGGGTCCCAGGGGGATTGCAAAGGTGGACATCAGTTGCAGGCAGCTGCCTGACTTACCAAGGGTCCAAAATTGTCTGAGCAGTTTTTCCTCTTACCTCTGCTGCCAATTTTGGCTGATGTTGGAAACAAGCTGCTAAGAGGCAAATAGCTTTGGCCAGACTTTGAGTCTGAAAGTCCAGTTGGAGGCGAGTTGCAACAAGCTCCCCCTCGAAAGAGCAGCGCGAGGCAGGACAGAAACGCTGCCCAGCCTTCTCCTGGGGGTTTTTCTTGAAAATCAGCTTTGTCGGACTGCAAAATACCTCGCGCTGTGGCTGTAGACAGGGCACTTCCCTTGCCTCCATCAACAGCAAAGGTGTGTGCAGCACAGAAAGCATCTGAGTATCTGTCCTTCCAGCGCTTTCCCTGCTGCCATGTGCCATGTCTGGCACTTCGGCTTTGCCGTCGGCACCACCAGCCGTACTCAGCTCTGCAGAGTGCATCCCAGTCGCTGTATGATTCGTGTTCCCATGATAGGCAAGATTTGGTAAAAGGTGACCAAAATGAGACATTGGTTGTGTTGGGTTGTGTGGGCAAGGGACCTGGCAGCATCTGGCAGCGGAAGTGCTCGTCAAGAGGAAATAAGGGAAAACCATCATATTTCCTTCCCTGGAATATTTTCCCCTGGCCTGCAGCTCTGTATCCCGTTTTTTCTGCCCCGCAAGCAGCTGTTTTTATGCCAGCCCACAGTCCCCGCTTAGCAAGGCGGAGGTTTTGTCCTCCCTGATTCTCTGACCGTGGAGACGCCGGGTGTGATCCCAGCCCTGACCCTGCACAGAACAGGGGGTTGCACTGGCTGAACTCCTCATGGTCCCGTCTCACCTGCATCACCCAGTGATGCTCTGGGGGGTCAGAGGGATAAAAATCATCTCGTGACGGGGGCTGACAAGTCTGTCAGCAGCAGCCTGAGGGGGAACTGAAGTCTGCATTAAATCCAGCAGCCGTGCAGCGCTCGAGTCGGGAGGGAGATATAAAGATTATTGGAGAGACCTGCTTTGAAGTCGTCAGCCCCCTCTATGGCCCTGATAAAGCAGGGAAATGCGAAGGTAGAGATGCACGAACAGTGGGGCGAAATCTGCTTTTAGAAGTGGTATTTCTGGATTGTGACTCCTTTCATACCTCATCCCGAAATATTTCGCTCCCCGCTGGCCCTGCTCTCCAGGAGAGGATGTTGCTCGGAAGCGTGGGGAGGAAGCGGGAGGGTTTCCAGCTTTACCGTTCCTTTGGCTGCGAGTTTGCTTCGGTGGAAGAGGGTGGCTCCGGATGGCCTTTCTCAGGAGGCCACGCTCCGAAGGGAGTTAATAATTAACACTTCGCGCTTAGTCGGCAGAACCTCTGAATTGCAGGAGGTTTGGCTCCTGCCAGCCGATGTACGAAACGTCAAGCTATTACAGCAGCTCGCCGGATGGTTTTTATGAGCCTCAAAATATGGGTGGGCACAGGGGTGTTCAGGCAGAAGCTCAGCAGAAATAACCAGGTGGAAGGGATCGGTAGCAAAAACCAGCTCACGCGGATGCAGGGTCTGGCTCTGCCCCCCTCCCTTTCGCTTCGGCTGAGCTCTCTGAGCATCTGTAAAGCCGGGGTAGGGGAAAAATGACCTGCAGGGATTCCAAGCGATGCTGCCCTCCTTAAGCTTGTGCTGAAAACCCGCTGGCATCGCTCGGTGTGTCACTCTCAGCAGTGTTAAGCTGTCCCCTGCAAGCAAAACATCTAAATTTCCTCAGGCATCAGAGATAAATTCTCTCTCATTAGGAGAAGGCAGCGGTGGTGCTTTTGCAGGGGAGAATGGGGAAAAAATGTGATAAATAGGGAAATGAATGATGGCTCTCCAATAATACTGTATTTCCCACCCAGACAGCCTCTTTCCTCTCTAACTGCGCCTTCCACCCACTCCCTCCAGAGAGCTTCGCTTTCCAGCTCGCTCTTCCACGTGTCCTGTTCAGTCCTGCAGCTCGTTCGCGAGGCTTGTGTTGCTCTTTCCTTCATTTAAAAAACATCAGGTTTGATTTTTTTTTTTTTTTTTTTTTTAGCAAAGCTAAAAGCAAACCAGACAAAGATGGCATGCAAGGGGAAGAGGGAAAAAATAGCTGGGTGTTCTGCTGTGCTCCTGGTTCACCTGGGATGGACGAGAAGCGTTTCATGGCCCCTGAGCATCCAGCTATACCTGCGGTTATTGCAGCAGCAGGTTGAAATATCATCTCCGGTGTCATTTTCATGGTCTGACTGAGAGAGACGGGCTGTTTGCATGGCTGGGGGTATTTTTCAATAGGAAATGTTTATAGTTTTTATCTTTAAAGGTAATTCCCTTTTTAGTTCCAATCACGACACACTTTTGTTTAAGCGAGGTTTTTCTCCCTCTCTGGCCAAAAAATGCATCTGTTAGCAATCTTTTTGGATTTTAAAGCGAAGCTTTTCAAACAATGA